AAATATATTATTATATTTACACAGTATCGCCGTGCGGCTATACTCGTTAAATTTATATAGAGTATAGCCTGCGGCTATAAGGCTTTAATATATTATTATATTTAAATTGTATAGCCGGTCGGCTATACGTTTTAAAATATATTATTAGATTCACATACTATAGCCGCGCGACTATACGCTTTAGATTTATATAATTTTTAAAAAGTTTAGCCGCACGGCTATACTGGGGTCCTTTTTTAAATAATTAATTAATTTTTTTCCCTAATTTTTGTTTATCCTAAGAGTAATTCAGAATATTATTCATTACTATTAGGTCATTACCTAAGTTTCTATTGTCCGATGTTTCAAATCTAAGACCACTAGTCTACAAATTAAGATTATTTGGATTAGACAGGACAACTGACGCAAATTGTAGATAATGTGATATGTCACAAATTCCATCCCAAAGGAAAGTTTAGTGTTCTTGTATGAGGAGGCCTTGAGGGGTCTCTGTCTTTGTAAGTCCATATACTTGCTTCAATCTTGGGTCTTTGTTTTGTTCTTTTGTACGAGATAGCTGAATCCCAAACTAAATAATCAAAGCTCATGAAGTCATGGTCATAGTAGGCCCTCACCATATATTTAGTTCATCATATAGTTGTTTGGTGGTGCATGCTATTTGTTATATATTATTGTATAAATTTCTCGGTTACAGGGAGAAACAAAAAATTAAAGAACTAATAACGAACAAATTGTATTGCACAATTCGATCTTTTCAGAAAAAATCTCTCTCTCTCTCTCTCTCTCTCGATTTTTCTTTTTTATGCTTTAGTATTAGAAGATTTGGTTAGACTTTCTTTGTTTCAACCAAAAACTTTCATGGAGAAACACGTTTCTTTTTTCTTTTTGGGTATGAAAATATTCATAGATAACCCATAGCGGCAGCAAGACCCAAGACATACAAAGGCCCGATATAACAGACTCCAAAGCCCAAAATAAACAAAACGCTAAAAGACTACAGCACACAAGACAATGATGACTCGTTTGAGAGTGATTTTGAGAGGGTCAAAATCACTTAGAAGAAGAGGTATTTCTCATATACTTCTCTATATAATCATTTAAAGTGATTTTAAGTGATTTCGAGGAGAAACATCTTTCATATGTTTGTCTCTAAAATCACTTAAAACCACATAAAGTTATTAGATTCTTCATAGAATTGATTTTAGCCCTCTCAGTTGGCCCCGATCCAGAATTGATTTTAGCCCTAATATTGGAAAATCTAACTAATATCTGATAGATCTAGAACTTAGATTGGAATATATTTTCATCAAGAACAGATTTTCTAGAAAACACTTAAGAGCATCTCCAAGGGAGATGTCAAATACCAAACATCAAATTTAAATTTGATGGCTGATATGGCAATTTGATATTTACATAATTTTACACTCTACCCGATATGTCAAATAAATAATTATTGTAACAATCAAATCATTTAAGATGAAGAAGAAGAAAATTAAAAAAAGAAAATAATAAATAAAAGTAACAACCATCTGTCTTTAAAAACTAATAAAATATTCATTTGACATCTTGTTTTTGGGATGTCAAAAATAACATATCAACCTGCAGCCTGCATTCCACATCAGCTTTGACACATCGGTTGGAGGGATGTGAGATGTTATTTCTAGCTATTAAATGTCTATGTGGCACTTTTGACACATCGGTTAGAGATACTTTAACATATACCTAATTTTTGTCAGAATGTTTTGCCATAAGTTTTTCCTTCGGGTCAAGACAAAAGAAACTTAAATGAATTTCGTCCAAAATGAAATTAATAGTCGGTGTCACGCACCCATCCATAAATGTGAATCTCACATACGTAATTATATTTAGGACTTTGAAAGAAATGGTCGGTACAACTAATGCCACTGTTTAATTTATTTATTTTGTTAAGTTTTCTAATTAATCGTAAGCATATATAATAATTTTTTTAAATATTAATTTAAGGAGAATTTTTTTATTTTTTTTTTTAAAACATGGATAAGTGATCACTCTTATTATTCATAAAAGAGAAGGTAGTACAGATCTTGTAGAGAGAATTTTACAAACAAGGATCATGTACTTTCAAGGAGCTGATGATAGAGAGTTCTTCAGCACCCACTTTATTTTGGCACCTACTAGATTTTATCTGGCGGCCAAAAACTGCCTCCCCATCTCAACTTCAGTGGATCCTGCATCACACAATAAAATAAAATTAAGGTTATTTTAATCCATCTTTTTAATGTGAAAATTGAGGTAATGTAACATGAATTTTATTTTACCGGTTGCAGTCAACGTTGGGTCCAGTGGGGTAAGGAAGCCTCACACTACAAGCCCTAGGGAGTCCACTAACAAGGTCACCCCTGATCCCGGTGATTGATTTAGCAGTCGCGACCAAGCACCTACACACGGCCTGGCGGTCAGGTGTGGTCCCAGCCAAGCCGATCAGGGACCTAATCCCATTGCAGCATGGTACAGGGACGGCCCCACCCTTCTTCAAGTAACTTATGCAGGGTCCCACATATTGTGACACCCTGCTGCATGGTATGACAGCTTGGGCTAAGGGTGCACCAACCAGCATACACCCGAGGACCACCAGAACAAGCTTGAAGGCCACGGAGCTTGCCATAACTTCAGAAGAACTATTAAGACTTTGAAGGAGCTTTGAGAAAATGTATACTTGCAGCTGGAGGTTTGTGAGTTTGATCACTGTATGGTAGGGACGAGTGGTCTGGAGGGGTTTATATATGAAAAAGTGGGAGAGTAAAGAACAAAGGCCACGAACATGTGGCTTTGAAATATGGATATTAGTTGGCAGCTAAATTCAATGCTTGTAACTACATGACAAACTTTGTTGTTGAACTACGTACGTCATATATGTAGCTCTTGATCGGTGCAATACATGCTACAGATAGTTTCATGAAAAATGACATATATTATGTTTTTTTTTAAAATATAAACGATAGTCTAAATTATAGGGAATGAAATTTCTTACACACACAACTTATGTCATGTATGAGACTTCTAGTCTGTAAGTACAGGCCCTTTTCAACTCGACTAGATGCTATCACATGAGGAATATTTAATTCCCACACACCATATTTTCTTATTATTGCATGCTCGTCCATCTCAACTTCATTCATCACATGATGCTGCAACACAATAAAATCCAATAAAGAAAATAAAAATATATAAGAACTTGTCGCTATAACAAGTGAACTTAACGTATAATATAGTCTGTTGATTATGTGATTTTGTGAGATATATAAATTTATACGTACGTGCTGCAGCTGAACTTTTACGGGAGGTTAAGTCCACAGCTGGAGGGAAGGCCAGAGACAAGGTTAGGCTTAAGATCTGGTATACCACTGGCATCGAATTTCAAACACATGCAAACGTTTTGGCGTTCAGCGGTGGTATTGGCATTCTTGTTAAGAGACTTAACCCCATTGCAGCAGGGCTCTCTAGGGCCTGGTCAGGGACGGACTCAAGATTTTAAAATAGGGTGGGTTAAATTTAGGTACTAAGTAGATAGAAAACTCAACAATACCATGTGATTTCATTGATGACAAAAAAATAGCAAGAACAATAAAATCAATTACAAATCCTATTTGATAATTCATAACTCATAAACTGAAACTGATGCCCCAAATGCAAATCCTAATTGAAACTTCATAAACTCCAAAAAAATCCTTAAACTAAAGCATCAAGAAATTGAGAGAAGCTTACATGACGAATATAGGAACTTGGTTCACTTGAATTAAGTCTTGAAGGTGAGTGCAGCAGCAAAAAGAGCGTTTTTTTTTCTCTCTACATGCAAGGGTAGGGTGGTGCTTCTTTTTTTTTTCTTTTTTCTTTTTATTGACTACATGCTGTGCAAAGAGGAGAACTAAATGAGATTAGGATATTTAAATTGAGTGAGCTAGGATTTTTTTTTTTGGCTGGAAAAAAGAAGCCACACCTGGGCGATAGCCCCAGTTCACCAAACTAAAGGTCCGTCCCTGGGTGAGCTAGGATTTTATTTTTTTAGCTGGAAAAAAGAAGCCACCTTGTCTATAGCCTAGGTTTGCCAATTTGTTTTTTAAGGTAACAAATTGAAACTGATATATAAGTTCAGGTGACATTTATTAAAAAATCCCTAATTTGTATCTCAATGGACTTAAGCAAGCTAGCTTTGTTTTTGTTTTTTTATAAATATTTTCTTTGATCATTAGGATTGAGGAAGAGGGATTTGAATAATTATAGGAAAAAAGAAGAGCAAAAAACAAAATAACTTAAACATAAATATTATTAGTTATACAAAGATAAAGATTACATAGAATAACTTAACGATTCCGTCACGAGGAATCCCTAGTGGATCACATAGCCACATTTTTATTCTCACTCTCTGATATTATCTGCGTCAAGCTCACTTCACGCTGCAACACCACAACAAAACACACCCAAAAGTCAATCAACTATATAATATTCCGCATTTAATTGTCAATAAGCTAGACCAAAAGTTCAACGATCCACGTTTAAAAAGTTAGGTTTTGAGATAATGCGAACCGTTGAATTTTAATCAAACCTACAAAAATTAAAACTTGGAGTTCTTTTTATTTTTAATACGTACGTGGCGCAGTTGGTAGAGGAGCTAATATTGTAAGGAATATTAACTCCACACTTGCCCGGAAGCGATGCGGCATTGTTAGGGTTGACTCCGGGGATGCTGCCGGAAAGCTGTTTCAGGCAGTTGCAAGCGGCCTGCCGGTCAGCGGTGGTATTTGCCAAGTTGTCGACGTTCCTGATGCCGTTGCAGCAAGCTGGAGGCACAGCTCCACCGCCGATCACGTAGGGTATGCATGGTGCAAGGTTGCTGGACACTTGGCCACATGTTATGGCTTGAGCAATGGGCACGCTCACAACCATGCACAAGGCCACCACCAAAGCAAGCTTAGTCATGGCAGAGTAAGCCATCTCTCTCGACTATGATGATTGAAGAAAAAAGGAGTTTGAAATGGATTTGTAAGCACTTGATTTGAGGAACTTGAGAGTAGTGAGTGGTATGGCACCATGCTCTTGTGTTTATATAGAGAAGAAATGAGGTGAATGGAAAGTAGAGTGACCACTTTAATGTAATACATGAATTATTGATGCCTATTTATTACATCAATTATTGTTATTGACTGTTAGATTAAAAATAATAGTATTTTTCGTTTTGTCTGAACTCATTTGTTAATTGTTGATGTTATTTTGTCGCCTGAAGGCCTAATTATAATTATCAATAGGAAGAACTTTCCTATTGAGAAAGGCTATAGCAATCCACCATTAAATATTGAATTCAATTTAATAGAAGTCCAAAATTTGTTGCTCAGATGAGCTACTTTTGCTATTTTTTGTTTCGTTTTTTATTTAACTCTTACAAAAGGAAGAGAGAGTCAAGTAAAAAAGAAAAGAGAAGAACATTTCTTTTATTATAAATTCCATATAAGTATTACAATATTCATCACCATGTGGATGAAAATCGAAGTACTGTTAGAAAGTAAATGTATTTTAGATAGGAACAAATTTGTCATTGATTCATATATCCAATCCTTCCCTTAGATGGAATTCCTAGATTGTAGGATTCCTTATTGTATAAGGAAAACTCGTGTATATATCTCTATGTTATTAATGAAATATTCATTCAAGTCAAATATATTTTTCTACATGGTATCGAAGCAGGTTTCAAAAACCTAGCTTTTTTTTCCTTCTCTCGTCTCTCACACATGGGTGACGGCAGCTCCTCCTCAAAGGGCGGCAATGAAACTGCTGACCCTCTTTTTTCTCAACCACTCAGACCATCCCGGGTTGGTTCTTGTTTCAAAGAAACTCAATGGCGATAACTACAACACCTAGTCTCGCTCGATGAAGATCTCTCTTAGTGCTAAAAATAAAATTGGGTTCATAGATGGATCCATAAAGAAACCAAAGGCAGATAAGCACCCTCTCGATTCTGCGGCATGGCAGTGATGCAACGACATGGTGGTGTCGTGGCTTTTGACTTCTCTGGAACCAGATGTGGCTGACAACGTCATTTACTTATCCACAGCTCACGAAATTTGGGATGACCTTCGCGAGCGTTTTCCTCAAAACAATGTCCCTCGTCTCTTTCAAATCAACCATGAGATTGCTTTTATCACTCAAGGACAGCTTTCTATTGCTGCATATTACACCAAATTAAAGGGGTTTTGGGATGAGTTGGCATCCTTTAGTGAGGCCACATCTTGCACATGTGGTGCACAGAACGAAACCAATACAGTTTCTCATGGGATAACCTGAATCATACAGTGCCATCCGTGGCCAGATTTTGTTGATGAAACCTCTCTTGTCGGCTCGACAAGCATATTCCTTCATCTCACAGGAAGAGAAACAGCGAGAACTTGGCTCCACACGTACTCCAGATTTCCAGACTGCAGCCATGGCCGTTCGTCATGATTCTCGCTCCCGTCCATGAGGAGATCGACTTCCACTCCACTGCCCCTATTGCAACTATGATCACCATACCCGAAATACCTGTTACCAACTTCATGGGTACCCACCCACCCAGTCACCCCCGCTATGGCCAGAAGCCCATTCCACGCCGCAACCACAATAACAATCGCAGTAGCAGTCGGCACAACACCAAAAGCACCGGCGGCAGCAACCACTGTTCCCATGCCTCCTTTGCTGCCCACCAAGTCACCGCCCATGCTCCAACTCTCCAAGATATTCAGTATGCGATGCCCCACTTATCCGACAGCCAATATCAACAAATCATGTCTGTGATGGCCGAGACATCCAATTCCTCTCCTTCCAACCAGCAAGCACATGCTGCTTCTGCCAGTTCTTTTTCTCACGGTTTGTCACCCATTGCTTCTTCTCATGGTCCATGGATCATTGACAGCGGCGCGACAGATCACATCACATGTTCTTCTCATTTATTGACGAACAGCACTCCCACCACTCCTTCACCTCCCGTTTCCTTGCCTAGTAGAGACAAGGCTCCAATCACTTTGACAGGAACAATTTCATTAAATTCTCATACACAATTGAAAGATGTTTTATGTGTGCCTAGTTTCAACATTAATCTTTTATCCGTTGGAAAAATTACAGATAGGTTACGATGTTTCGTAACTTCTTTTCCTTCTTGGGTTATTTTGCAGGACTTGGTTTCTAAGACGACGATTGGTGTGGGTAAGCGACGAGGAGATCTTTACTACCTAGTGGCGCTCGCCTCCACTACCTCCAATGATCGTCCATCTTCCTGTCACCTTATCACCACCTCTACTGACCTTTGGCACCGCCGGCTAGGACACCTTTCCCCAGCCCGTTTGCAATTCTTAGCTAGTACCTCTTTAAATTGCTCCTTTGATTCGTGTCATGTTTGTGATATTTGTCCGTTGGCGAAACAAACTCGCCAAACTTTTGGACTTAGTTCTATTTCAACTTCTAGACCTTTCTCTCTTTTACATTGTGACATTTGGGGTCCTAATAAACATCCCTTTCTTACTAGGGCTTATTATTTTTTTATCCATAGTTGGTGATTTTTCTCGTTTTACTTGGGTTTTTCTTATGAAACCTAAACATGAAACACAAGACCTTTTCAAAACTTTTTTTGCCTATGTTGACACACAATTTCATCTCGAAGTTCAACAAATCCGTGTTGACAATGGGGGAGAATTTTTCTCCATGTGCAACTTCTTTTCTGACCATGGGATAATTTATCAACACTCTTGTGTTTACACACCCCAACAAAATGGAGTTGTCGAACGCAAACACCGCCATCTCCTTGAAACTGCACGAGCCCTTCGTTTTCAATCTAATTTGCCCATAAAATTTTGGGGGGAATGTGTTCTTACTGCCGTATCAATCGCTTCCCTACATCTCTCCTTAACAACAAAACCCCTTTTGACATTCTCTACCACAAAACACCCTCTTACCACCATATGAAAGTTTTTGGTTGCCTTGCCTATGCCACCTCTGTTCACCCAAGCTCCAAATTCGCTCCTCGAGCCCACAAATCCGTTTTTATTGGCTATCCCATTGGCCAGAAAGCTTACAAACTCTATCACCTTGAAACTTATAAAATTTTCACTAGTCGCGACGTTTTCTTCCTGGAAGATAAATTCCCATTCTCCAGCCCCGACACACCCACACCACCACATACCACCAGACCCTCCCTCCCCTTATTGCCTTTCACTGGCCCGGACCCATTCCCTTTGAACTACGACCCTTTTCCTTCTTCTCCGTCTGCCACCAGTCCTGCCCCAGGCTCAGACCTCCTCAGTCAACCCGCTCTTGATATCCCTCTTCCCACGGACCCCACTCCTTCCGCCAGCATCCAAGCACCACTTCCTGTTGATGTACCCCTTACCCAGCCCGTACCTGACACAGCTCAGCCTACCCGTATCTCCTCCCGTCCCAAGCAACCCTTCACACGCCTCAAGGACTTCATTTGCTCGCAGGTGATTCTGCCCCCACATCATTCCTCGTCTTCGCTGACCGGTCCTCCACCAGGTACTCGTTTTCCCCTTTGTAATTTTATTTCTTGAAATTGGTACTTAGGTGACGAAGGGTAAATTTAGTCACACAAACAAGACAAAACAACACAGCAATCTTCACACACTTTAAACCTTGACCAAATACACATATGATTAGTCAACTGCTAGTCATGAACAATCACAATCAAGAGAACACACAGATCATGCCACAATGTACCTGCAACCCTAGAAGTCAAAGGCATGGATTGATCAGTGTAGGCCATAGATTTAAAAAGATCAATAGAGTAATCAGCAGAAGCAAGAGCAAATATCGCATAATCAAAACCAGGGCACAATCGAAAACCTAAGACCCGATTGATAACAGATGGTCTCAGAGTAATGGGGACTGACCTAACAATAATCTGAAACTTTGACTCCTTAGGGTCAACAGGAAAGTTAGAGTAAAACTCTTGAATTACAGAGGCATTAAACTTACCAGAGAGAGTTTAGGGCATGAAGATGGTAGTGCTCCAATATTTGATTTGCAAACTCCTGAGCCGCTAAGGGAACAACATCAAACTGGTAGGTTCTCTCAGGAACAAATTTCCTTTTGGAGACAACTTCATCAAAGAAGGAGGCAGCCTCAGAAGACACAAATGGAAAGGAATCTCCAACATGAACAGAGGAAGAGGGACAAGTTCTAGGAGCCCTAGGAATGGATGGAATGAAATCCACTCTGTCAATGGATTTTGATTTCGAGCGACGGTGGTAAGTGAGGAGAGGCTTTGTGGAAGACATGGCTAGCAGCAGAAAGAAAAAACAAATGGAAGAAGGGGAGAAGAGACCATAACAGAGTGAGAGAGAGAGAGAGAAAAGTCTGAAAGAAACATGGAATGAAATCCACTCTGTCAGTGAATTTTGATTTCGAGCGACGGTGGTAAGTGAGGAGAGGCTTTAAGGAAGACATGGCTAGCAGCAGAAAGAAAAAACAAATGGAAGAAAGGGCAAAGAGACCAGAACAGAGTGAGAGGGAGAGAAAAGTCTGAAAGAAGCAAACGGAATGGAAGAGAATGAGGAATTGGTGACTGAACTCGAGACTGACAAGAACAGAGAGAGGAAGAGACAAACGATACTGACAAAGAAAAGGGAAAAAACAGACCTAAAAAAAAGAAAAAGAAGAAAGCGCAAACGACACGACCCAAAAAAAAGAACCGCTCAAAACCAAAAAAAGAAAAATAATAATAATAACTGCCAAAATGAAAAGTGAAAAGGACGCATCGGTCAGGAGACAAAGCGGATGACAAGTCAACCACAAGAAAGATGACTAGTCAACTCAGGCAAAATTGGCGCAGGCAGAACCGGATGACTAGTCATCCACAAATATGATGACTAGTCAACTAAGGCAAATCAGAATGAGCATCAAATGCAAAACACCCAGATGACTAGTCAACCATAAGCATAGATGACTAGTCAACTAAAACAGCATTATGACAAACACCAAATAATATCGACCCTGTGAAAGACATGGTTTTTGGTTTCTAAG